GGTGCATCTAGCACTCCGATCTTATATTTTTAGTACACCCAGCACCCTAATCTCATTTTTAGTGCTAGAGAGATTGGGGTGCTAGTTGTAACTAAAAAAATAATATCAGGATGTTAAATGCAACAAGAAAAGTAAGATCAGGGTATTGGATGCAACTGAAAAATAAGATGAGAGTAGCCGAATGCCCATTTAGCTTATAATAAGCTGTTGATGAAATTGATAAAACCTGGTCGAAACTTCAAAGATTATTAGAAGTTGATCCATACTCTAATGTTAGAACATCAGCACAGTACGGTACCACTTTGTGTATTACTCTTTCAACCATATGTAGCACGGGGAATGACCGTCAACATGCACTTCTGGAATCATGATTCTGCAAGAAATAGGATAATTTCTAATTTTCTAAATACATATGATTTAAGTGTCCCATGATCGATTTTTTTTTCTTTTTTGTCTTTTCCACCGAAGTTAATTTGGCAGAAACCCATGAACATGGATGTCTGAAATTACTAGAGTAACATAGAAATAAAAGAGATGTTATATCTAGCTTTCACTCGTTGATATAAAAGCTATTTAATTAATTCAGGCAGACTAAAAAATTATAAATTAGTTAATTATAATAAATGTGATCTGATCTTCCTAAACTTACCCTATGAGATGCAAGATTAAATATCGGTTTATAAGTTAGGTGAAATAATTTGGAAAAGAATAATAAATATAAGAAACAAATTGAATTGAAATCTTATAATTAAAATCAAATATAACTTCTAAAGAACAGAAGGAAAAATAATTCCAAACTGAAAACAAAAGTTTGGCATGATAACTATTTATGATTGGAATGCTGATTGACCAGTTCGCGGATGAAGGAAACAGCTTGGTACGTCTGACCGGACATCATATTTTCATCCAGGAAAACCCACTCAAAAGGAATTTAATAAATCCGATTTAATTAATTAGCATTAAGTTAAGAAACGTACCAAAAAACGAAAATAAATTATTCTGTAGCCGTGGAGGCTCATTTGAGCTGCCGACACATTCATTGAATGTACAAAGAATGTTGGAGACAAAAAATTTCAGTCAATTTAGAACTAATTAATCTGACCCACCCATGATGAATTCAAAGAGATTTTATTATTATTAGCCTTTGTGATCATAAAACGAAATCTATCACTTTGGTGGCATGCTTATAAGTTGAAAAATCATCCACAAGATCCCAATTCATTCTAAGGCTTCAAGTGGCTGCGACCTGATATCGCAAAAGGCAATTCACTTTATTGGCCAGAAGCTCTTGGGAGTTGGGAGGAAGTTTCGTTGTTCAAATTGATGATGATACATTGTTCAAACTTATCAACATATTCATCATTTAATTTGTCTTTTTTTGATGGAAATCAGCAGAATTATTTCCGTTAATCAAGGACTAGTCAGTTCCCTTTCAATGAGGCATGGAAGAGAAACAATAGAAAAATGACTAACGAACCCAAAGAAATTTAACACATATAAGTCACGCTTTTATACTTACAAGTTGAGTTGTGTCGTTTAATATTAAATAAAAATTAGGGGACCTATCTATGTTTAATTTTCTTACATAAAACATGTAGGTAATTTTACTTGATAATTTAGGCCTAATTGTTTAAATTTAAAAAATAAGTGATTTTAGACCGTCTATAGATTTTATGAAAATTGATTCGTTGCATAAATATTTGATGAAAGACAAATTATTTAAAGTTTGATTTCCATCTTTAAAAAAAATTAGTGATTTTCATATTTTTACAGAATTGATTTAATGTTTATTAATTTTTAAATTTTCTATTTTTTTTCGTGTGTCTCTATATTTTTATAACTATTTTTTCATTTGTACTGGATTTCATTATTTTAAAAAAAAATTCAACAAAGCTTTTTTAAAGTAATCAGAAATCTATTTTTAAAATTCTAATTATTTTTAAAAGTTTAAACAAACATTGCAAAATTTCTTAAGTGACTTTCCCCGAAAAAGAAGATTTTTTTTTCCTTGTAAAATGATTAAAAAAAAGGCCCTTATATGGTATTTAGGAAGCAACTTAACCTGTAAGGCCTCTCTCAAGCCTAAATTAATGGAGAATGACAAAAAAAGAACACTTGAAAATTGCATAATCCTAAATGAGAAATTGTTATAAAAATATGTTGTTATTTCCAAGTTAAATCTAATAAAAACTTGTTAAAGTGTAGGAAAAAATTTAATTTGATATTTAGTAATTTTCATGTTCTTTTTCTATCATTTTCCCCTAAATTAATTCTAATTCGTCTAATTTTGTAATTTCTCATTGCCTATGTTAACAAAACCGCTAACTATATGCTCAAACCTAAATTGATTGTGAAGTTAAATATATCTCTATCATTTTTTTTTTTTTGCTAGACACATGTATCCTCATAATTGAAGCAATTCTATTTGAGGACATTATTAGATACTAAATATGAGTATTTCTCCCAACAAAAATTTAAATATTGATTCATCATATTATGAAGGACTAGTCTATATATATAGAATATAAATAGTACTAGTACCCACTAAAGTCGACATAAGTTCAGTTGAACTATTGACTCTATATGTTCATCATGCGTGCATCTTACATATAGTTTAAGACTTCAATAAGAATTAACCAATAAAGATTAAAATTTCCCCTTAATTTAAGGGAGTAAAGCAAGCTTCTTTCCCTAACCCATTTAATACAGTTGAAACGTAAGAGTGATTTAAGCTTACTTTAGTGCAGAATGACCTTAAATATCTGGGGTTGGTGAAACATTGATACTTCCTTCCATCCTAAATATAGAACTAGACAATTAATTTTTTTTTTTTTGATCTGAGAACTAGACAATTAATTAAAAGAATATTAAAAGATTTAGTTATTTGTGAAAATGTATTGATTTATTTAAAACGCACTTTATGATCATTTGCATTAAAACTGCATTTGATGCAAACTCATTCAATATGTGCAAGTAAATAAGATAATTTAGTAAAAGATTAATAACTTAAGAGACAAACAAAATTAAAATTTTATATTTAGAATTAAAATAAATATTTGGACTAGTTTTTACGAATAAAACAGAGGGAGCACTAATTTAGGAAGATAAGTCATCAAGACCAACACGTCCTTTTCCTCGTGAGAAGGTGAGAAAGACTAGGAACAGTTAATCCACTCACACACATAAGGAGACAAAAAAGGGATATCAAACTTTGAAATTTCGTACCACCAACCATTTGTTTTTATTTCACGCCTTGCAGCTGTCTCGGTTCTTAATGTAATGTAAAAGTTATTATTAAAAAAATTAATTAAATTAGTTATTTATAATAAATAGGTATTATTTTTTAAATATATCTTTATTAATTATATATATTGGAATCATCATTTCACATATAGAACTTTTAACAATATAAGAGACAGTAGATTGTAATCTTATATTTAAGATCAGATTAAATTTCTAATTGTCTCTTGTATTATTAATCAAAGATAATAATATTTTAATGTCATTATGATCTCAGCGCAAGCGGTTGTTACGTATGGTCGATGTAAATCAATTTTAAATTCTCATTTTAGATGACCAATCATCTGACTAAGGCGGACGCCGAGTATCTTGAAGCTTCTGATCAATTATTGGAGGGTAACCTTAGTACAGTACTCCCAGAATTTCTTATAAAATAATTTCCATAGTCCCTAACTCACTAACCAATTATAGTTCTAAAACAATTAATCATTCTGCTATGCGCCAATATTGTTAATATTAGCTAAACATTAAATTTTTTTGTGCGTGTGTATCTCAGGAGTTTAATTAAGAAATAAATTAAATTAGACAGATTTATGAATATTATATCTTGATATGGATTTTGTTTACTCCATTTGGTCCTATGTGCATATAAATTAGCTTCTAAAAGAAGTTAATAGTCCCTTTTATAAGTTTACATAAAAAGATAGAATATTAATTACTCTGCTTTAATTTTATCCTCTTTTACAATTTTCTAATTAATGGAGTATGATATCATCTTTTTCAATGATTTATAAATTACTTCTCTTTAGTCCTACAACAGTTGACAGTTGAATATATCCTCTTCTTCATCATATGTGAGGGCCGAGCGTTAATATTTATCTCATTGGAATCATATATTTGATTTAAATGATTTAATAATTAAATTTTATCAAATTAACAGTCACAAGAGAACATTATTTCTATTCTACGTTATAATCATTTTTGCGTGAAGAATATTAGAATCGGACAAACCCAACACGATTCAAATTGTTGAAATTCAGATCAAATATGGATTATGAATATTATGCATTGAATCTAGGAGAAAAAAACAATATTGAGCACCAGAAACATTCAGTGAATGTGAGACAAGTTGACGTCTTTGGGCTTTAGGATCACTTTTTCAATATTACAAGATTAGGAATGGGATGAGCAAAATATCGATTCAGTGAATGTGCAAAGAATATTGGGGGCAAAAAAATACTACCTCCGGTACTTAATATAAGACCCTATTTGACTTTTGTATTAGTCTTAAATATAAGACCCCAATCCATTTTATCTCTCATATTTACTTAATTTTTTCCAAGATAGTCCTTCTAATAATTATAGTTTTAGCTAACATACTTGATTAGTAAGGATATTTTAGGAAAGACAACACCTATTTAGGAGAAATAACTAATTCAACTTACTTCCTTAATCTCTTCAAATTAGTCAACTGGTTCTTATAATTAGGATCGCAGGTAGTACGTTTTCAGTCCTATCATTAATTCTTATCCACGCACGCCGAATCCAACGCGGTTTTGTTTGACTTTATGATCACAAAACTTAAACCCATTCACATACTTAAAATTTGCAAAATCTTTCACTAGTGATCCCAATTTTTAACTCTTGAGGAGGCTGCGACTTGTTCTCTCAAAGTCAATTGACTTGATGTTATTTTCATACCCCAGCAAGAAGCCGTCTTATTGGCCAGCCTCAAAGTCCATTGACTTATTCATACTTATTCATCATTTTAACTTGTCTTTTATTATATAACACTGGTTGACACAGTTTCCTTCCATGGTTTCCTATTTTGGGATATTACTGATCCTAACAACCAATTTATATCAGAACTGGCAGTTCTGGGCGAAACATGGCATTTAAACTGCAACCAGTTCATTGAACTGGAACCTTTGATGCTCATGTATTCAGGGGACAAGTCACAAGTAGATAATGAAGATAGCAAATGGATGGGTTATTTTATTTGTTATGTTCCATCACAGCTTCTTGTTTTGTGCAGCTTCTGATGCCATAACCATTAACAAACCCATCAGAGACGGTGAGCATCTAATTTCTAGCGAAAATTCATTTGCTCTAGGGTTCTTCACTCCAGGCAAATCAAACAATCGCTATGTAGGAATTTGGTACAACAATCTGCCAGAACCAACTGTGGTTTGGGTTGCAAACAGAGACGATCCCATTAATGATACCTCTGGTGTTCTCTCCATCAGCTCAGATGGAAACCTAGTTCTTCATCGTAACTACTCCGACATTCCCATCTGGTCTACGAATGTTTCTGTCCCTGTTCCAAACACAACAGTTATGGCTCAACTCACAGATATAGGTAACTTTGTTTTGACTTCTCAAAATGACTCCAAAACTGTTTTATGGCAAAGCTTTGATCATCTTTCCGATACTTTGCTTCCGTATGGGAAATTGGGAGTGAACAGAAGGACTGGCCAGAGCTGGTTTTTGCAGTCCTGGAAGGCAGAGGAAGATCCAGGAACAGGAAACTTCACCATGAAGTTTAATGTTAATGGGAAACCTCAGTTATTCTTGTACAATAATTACGCACCATGGTGGCGGGCTGGATCCTACAACGGCGAAATGCTTGTGGGTATTCCATTTATGAAACGAGCAATGTCAACTTATGTTACTATTCCTTTCTCGGATGATGGTAATGAAGTTAAAATTTTATTTCACCCCTATGACAAGAAAATCATCATGCGAGTGGTGGCTGTTCAATCTGGATTCTTCCAAGCCTTGCTATGGGATAATGATAAGAAACAATGGAATCGATATTGGTCTGGTCCAGAAGTGGATTGTGATAACTATGGATCTTGTGGTGCCAATGGGAATTGTGATCCTCTTAACTACGCAAATTTCAGGTGTTCTTGCTTACCTGGGTTTGAACCCAAAAACCCAACAAATTGGTATCAACAGGGCGATCCATCAGAAGGTTGTGTGAGAACGAAAGGACCATCCTTATGTGGGAATGGAGAAGGATTTGTTAAAGTAGAAAGCGTAAAGATTCCTGATACGTCCGTGGCAAATTCAAATATGACTATGAGTTTGGAAGAATGTGAAAAAGAATGCTTGAGAAACTGTTCTTGTAATGCCTATTCTGTTTCTGATGTGAGAAATGGTGGGACTGGATGCTTGATTTGGCATGGGATTTTGATGGATACACAAAAATTAAGTCAGGAAGGGCAGGATATATATGTTCGTGTTGATGCTATTGAACTTGGTAATTATTGTTCAATCCTTTTCATTCTTCTTTCACTTCTCATTTCTGTTTTTAACTCTTCTTGTTAATTATATTTCTTCCTATACTTTGTTCAGAAACATATGCTAGGAAATCAAAAAGATCAGCGCTTGCTATGTCTTGGAAAGTGGGGATTACAGTGACTTGTGTGATTTTGCTGATTGCTCTTCTTATTGTCTTATCTGTGTGTTTCATTCGGATCAAAAAACGAAGAGGTGCGTTTTTCATTTCATTTCACATTATATTAATGCCTTTTCACACACACACTCTGCTCAAAAGCTTATAATAGTTAATTGGTTAGGTGAAATAGTTGGAAAAGAATGATTAGATAAAATGGGAAAAGTGCGAGAGGAGAATTATGGAGATAGATCACAACCAAGCTTCTGTGGCATTAGTGATTTAATCTAATTCTTAAAGCTATGGTCTTGAAATTTTTTTAAGGAAAAATCTCTGAAAAAATACCTCTTGAGTTTTAAGATTTCAAATTAGATCTATTTACTACACTTAAAAAGCAAATGACAAGATATTTTTGTATTAATTCCTGATTTGAGATTTTAAAATTTAAGAGATTTTTTTTTTGGGATTTCCCTTTTTTAATACAAGGTATTAAAGAATAGTTTGCTCTTTTTTATGTATTACTTTATTCAATTTTTTAAAACTATTTCACCGTCTTTGTTTTTGCTAATTGCAGATGAGATAATCGAACAAGAAGCAAAATTAAATTCCCCAACAGAGGAGCAAAACGGTGAAAACAGAGCACAATCGAGCTTACCATTTTTCAGCGTCAAAACCATAACAACGGCAACAAACAATTTCTCAGATGAGAATCAATTAGGGCAAGGAGGATTTGGTTCTGTTTACAAGGTGAGTAAAATCTTCAAGAATCCCTTTGTCATATAATCTGACCCAGTTCTTAAAACGTTGCATATAGAAGTGATTTATGAGACTTAAAATCTTTTATTTGCATTTGATACTCATATTTATGAATGTCAGTATTGATATTTTGCAACTCAAATAATTTTAAAAAATAGAATAAAATTTAGGCATAACTATCATTAGATTAATCTTTTACCTTTTGGGATCTAACGAATGTCATTTTCCTCAAAATTAAAAAAAAAAGTCAACAATCATATCAATAAATAGTATAACAATAATAGGGACACCTGCCATAATTTTGTATGACATATTGGTTAGTGCGTGTAATGTAAATAATGATTTGATATCTCAGGGAACATTAATTAATGGAGAAGAGATAGCAGTGAAGAGATTGTCCCAAGATTCTGGACAAGGCACTCAAGAGTTCAAGAATGAAATTAAACTAATTGCCAAATTGCAACACAGGAACCTTGTGAAATTGCTTGGATATTGCATTCACAAAGAAGAAAGGATGTTGATCTATGAGTACCTTCCCAACAAAAGCTTGAACTTCTTTCTCTTTGGTATGTTTTATTATTCTGCTTCTCTTTCTCTAAACTAATGCTGTATAATTTCAAATATCACACACATTATTAACTTAGCTTGCATGCCTCAATTAATTAGTGAACTGGAACAAATTATTCCCTTTTTTGTTTATTCATAAAATATATATATATTTTGACACATTCTTCTGAAATTAAGTAAATGCATAGAGCCAGTACATTAAAATATTTCGAAGTATTCTTTTCAAACTATTCAAGTTTCAAAATTATAAGGGCTTTATGTAGGCTCTAGGTAGCTAGATAAGATTACTTAAGAATATCATTCGTACATAAATAAAAAGCATTATAGCTAGCTTATAATTCATATATCATATTATTTGCATATCTTCTTGAGGTAGCTAAATTTATTTTCCATCATTTTCAAAGATAACATTGTTTTATGGTTCATTACAGATAGGAGTCAAAGAATGCCATTAGATTGGGATACACGTTTCAATATTATATTTGGAATTGCTCGAGGTCTTCTCTATCTTCATCAAGATTCAAGGCTAAAAATAATTCATAGAGACCTTAAAGCTAGCAATGTCCTCTTGGATGCTACAATGAATCCTAAAATTTCAGATTTTGGCATGGCTAGAATATTTGGAGAGAACCAGATCCAAGCAAGAACTAGACGAATTGTTGGAACATAGTAAGGGAGAAATTCTTGAACATCATCTAAAATAGCACCATTAATTGAGTTTCACAACAATCTTATATCATTATTATTTTTTCTATTGCAGTGGTTATATGTCTCCAGAATATGCAATGGTAGGACAATATTCAACAAAGTCTGATGTTTTTAGCTTTGGTGTTCTATTGTTAGAGATTATTAGTGGCAAGAGAAATACAGACTCTGATAAAGAAAGAGCATCCCCAAATTTGATTGGACAGGTAACCAAAGAAATCTATAATGGAGAAACTTAAACATATTCATTGATCTTTTCTATCTCTTCTCATATTATTTTAACCTTGGAAGCCATGGAAACTACTTTGCTGACCTTGATCCTATTTTTTTCTTATTAAAATTATGAGACTGTTTTTTTTTTTGTAGGTATGGGACCTTTGGAGAGAAGAAAAAGCCTTGGAAATAGTGGACTCAACACTTGGTGAATCATATCCTCTTGACATAGCCTTAAGGTGTATACAAATTGGGCTATTATGTGTGCAAGAAAGTGCCCTCTATAGGCCATCCATGTTGGAAGTTGTTTTCATGCTTGGTAATGAAGTAACCATTCCCTCACCTCATAAGCCAGCATTCCTATTCAATTCTAACATAGAGAATTCAGAATCTTCAGCATCTGGAGATCCTTCAGTAAACACTATTTCAGATACTACAATTAGTGCTCGATAAATTAGACTTAGATATATATATGAGAGAAGTGCAATTTTTGATCCTATGTATTGTTAAACTTTGATTCTGTATTAATGTTTGTGCATAGCAAGCGTCCTTCATTTTGTTCATATATATGCTTGATGATGAACAATGATTGATTACTAGCAAATGTAGAGGTGTATTGTACATTCCATCTATATTTCTTAGTATTTCTATAAACAAAATATCGTACTGATTTTTTTTTACTCACTTGGATGCATGAGTTCACAAATTATATGATACTTCCTGCGTGCATGATAGGGGATAACATGCTAAACATAATTGCTAAATGTCAAAGGTGGGTGCTCTTAAATCTTGGAAGTTGAATGACTTCTTTTAATTGATTGCACAAAAATTGTATGGCCTTAATTTTATCTTAATTAGTCTAGCCAACACATGTAAAAAGTATATATATATATATAATAGAATTAGTTAACTTAGCATTACTTTTCATTATTGCTAGTTTCTTTTTGTCTTATTACATTCTTTTTTTTTTTATTTGGACTTTGATGTGTATCCCACTCTGTGTGTTGTTGCTTCTATTTTAGTTTACAACAGAAACTATATTCAGGTCAAAAAGACACATGCAAAAGTGTGAAAACATAAACAAAGCAAAGAGAAGTAAAAGGGGAAAATATTAGGGGAAATTGGTTAAAAATCCATATTTGACAAATTAATTGAGAAATGGGACTAGCAATAAATGTAAAAGTATGGGCCCCCTCAACTATCAGTAAGTGTGATAAGAAAAAGACCATATTACCATGACAAATACTAATTGCATATTACAAATTCTCATTTGCATATTATAGATCATTACTTCCATATGACCAATTGCATATTGTGAATGCTCATTTTTGTATGACTCATTGTATATCATGGATGCTCGCTTGCATATAATAGATGCCTACTTGTATATAGATTTATTGCATATTATGAATGTTAATTGCATATAACAAATTACTATTTGCATATAGTTTATACTTACTTGCATATGACAGATCCTTACTTACATATGGATCCTTGTTGGATGTTATTACTTAATACGAATGTTAATTGCATATGACAGATTCTCACTTGTATATGATAGATGCTCACTTGCATATATAATTACTAATTAGTATTCATATTTCACAATAACATAAGCATCCATATGCAAGTAGACATCCGTTATATACAATTAGGATTCATATTAAGCACTAATATGTATTAAGGACCCATATGCAAGTAGAAATCCGTCACATGCAAGTGAGTATCTGTTATACACATATAAGCATCTATCATATGCAAATGAGTATCTGTATTTCACAATAAACCCATATGCAGGTGAGTATCCATCATGCGCAAGTGAATATCTATCATATGAAAATGAGCATCTATACTACACAGTAAACCCTTATAGAAGTAGGGATCCATCATATGCAAGTGAGCATTCGTCATATACAAATAAGTATTTGTTATATGCAATTAGCATCCGTACTACACAATCACTACAAAAAATATGTATTTTGTAGCGGTTAAAATAAGACATTTCTAGCGATTACAAAAACCGCTAGAAAATCAAGTGCAAGAAAAAATTTCTAGCGGTTATGGCAACCGCTACATAGTATGATCAAAACGCCAGAAACTTTCTAGCGGTTAATTAACCGCTAGAAAAATCTAGTAGTAGGAGACAAAATTTCTAGCGGATAGAAACCGCTGGAAAAAGCAAAAAAAATTTGTAGCAGTTATATAACTACTAGAAAGTTCTAAACCAAATCAAATTTTGTCAGGAAATTTGAAACAACCTCCCTAAATAAACAGATAAACTTAACTTTTTCATAGTAACTTTAAGAAATAACATTTTATAACCAAACTATGCTAAATACAAACTCAAATTATATCACAATCATCTACACTAACTAATCATATAATATTGTTATCCGTGATAGAAAAGAGCAGCACCCAATCATACATCCTATCACGGATAAAAGAATTTTTCTTAACTCATTCAAATACACACTATATGAGAAAGGATTAATCTTATCTAATATAGTTATAATACAACATATAATATAGCTCATAAGTCAAAATGTTAAGAATTAAATCTTAATTCATATTTTATAATAAATTCATAAACAAATCACATGCGAATATGCCATCTTAGGCCTCTGGCCACCTATCAGCACACATACCACAATAGTACACTCAAAGGACATAAGAAATAATAATGCATGAATCAATTAAAAACAATTTATCCTAAGGTGGCAATATACAGGATACAACATGGCTCATAAACCGAGGAGACGCGACAAGTTGCTAATGTAGCTTTACTCCTCCTGAGCCTTCCTTGACGTCCCTCCTTTAAAGCTTTCACCTGAAAAATGTTAAACAATAGGGATGAGACAACGTCTCAGTAACTAAATCCCTACCTATCACACACCCTAGCATGGGCTAGTGAGGTGTCAGGTGGGATACACAGAGTTAATAATAATTGATAAACATTTATTTAACATTTAAACTCACAATAATCATATAAGACAAATATTTCCACCACTCTCATGCAATTTATACATTTCAAAAGAGATAACGCACTTGTCATTTATTTAAAAGATATAAATATCAATGAATATTCCATGTCATATGCAATTCCTGAACCCAAATCCATCCTTATATCCTCCTTATTTCCGCCGACTGGACCCATGGGCTAAGTTCTTTCCATTTGACTGGCAACTCTGACAAGCTCACCACACGAATGATGTGGACCGGCCAAAGACCACAGAGCACTCGGTGGACCATGGGTCCCCCCTGGAAGAACTAGTGGGGTGTCGCAGTCCCTCGAAGAACTAGTGGGACAATAATAGTGGCCAACCATAGAGCTCCGTATGGAGGCCGATACCACGTGGCAAGTATATGAATCTCAATAGCTCCAATTACCTCCTTTCCCCACCCAAAATAGATGCACAGGGTTCAAAATGACACATTTATATGCATAATCAATAGAATTTCATAATAGCACATCATAATCATAATCACCAATTTCTTGCAATACAAACTATGTCAATCCTTTTAAAAATAGCATCCCACAAGACAGTTCATACAAAACATAATATACTTTTATAGAATCAGTTATAAAGCCGCTCACCAACTTCATACTAGAGCATGCAACAGATAGAAATTTAGTTACCTGGTCTCCTAGCTAACAGTCAACTACAACCAGAGTCCAACCTCGAAAATGCCACAATAGAGTTTAGATCTACAAACAAAATTAAAATATTATCTCTATAGTATTAGAGTAGGCTACTCACAAAATTCTAGCCTCTTACTCCTCCTCTAAAAGCTTTAATTTTACTCAGAACTCTAGCCTAAAAGACATTTCTCTAAGGTTTGGAATGAGAACATATATATATGATTTAGACTCGATTCCTAAATTTTCCTTACTTAAATATCCTTTAATTATTAGATTATATTATTAGAATCATCAAATTCATAATGCAAATAGACAAACTATAAATTTATAACTTATATTCCATCTTCAAAGGACTTAGACAAATAGACTTAATACAAACCAGGTTATTCTCACTACAAAAGTTAATCCCTTAATCTAACCATTGAATTTAATTTCCTATCTATCATGATATTATCCTCTAAATTATAGCTCAATCTAACGGTGAATGAACTTTAAAATACTAATTTACTATTCAGGACTCTATATGCTAAATCCAAAAGATATAAGTTAAAAATGTACCTAATAACTTGTAACTCGGAGATCAAAATGATGATCCAACCGTTGAAATTAACGATTTGGATGTCCCAAATGGGCTGACCAAATTTCAGTTCGATCCAACGGTTAATAAACTCAAAACTAGCACTTTTCTAAGACTACCTCAGATATGTGCGAAAATTATTTACTCACTTCAAGCTCCACTCACTATCTCCTATATATAGGCTCCTCAAACTCCTTCACTCTAAAGATTAGTCGATGTGGGACTTCTTAACATTGCTATTTTATCTACTTCCTATCATTTAATCAATGTGGGACTTCTTGACATCGCTATTTTATTCATTTTCTCATACACACACACACACATAAAATCAGAATTATTTTAATTACATATATGTATATTTAACCTCTACCTATTCTATAAAAATTTGTTTAAATATTAGATATATAAAAACTAGGATGTTACAAAATTAAATTTTTGAATTGGCACCAAAACATTTCTAGCAGTTTGACCCGCTAGAAATTTGGCACAAAATTTAAATTTCACGAAATTTGTCCCGCTATTTTTTTATTTCTAGCGGTTTTGAGCCGCTAGAAATGTTTTTCCAGGCACAAAAAAAAAATTTGTGGTTTTTGATTATTAGAAAATATAATATTATAAATTTAAAAACCATTAAATAGATTATATTGGAGAATTTTTGTTAATTTGTATAATTAGTTATGTATTACTTTTTATATATTTGAATTTTGTAATAAACAATATGTAATTAAATTATGAATGTGTCAAAAGAAATTAATTTAATTTAATAAGATAATTGAATTGAAGATTTAATAAGATAGTTGAATTGAAGATGAGATAGTTTGTAATATTGAACCTAAACTGTTATGTTGAGAAGTATTTGAATCAGTTGAGGAGGGCATGACAAGTGTAAAGAAGAAAAATCTGAAAGAAAAAGAGAAATAAATATGTTAGTAAATTATAAGTAAAGACAAATAAAAGATATAAGGACTTATAAAATAAAATTCACTTACCATATAGTGAAGAGAAAGAAACCACCATATGAGAGAGTAAGAAAAAAAGAGAGAATTATGAGGAAGAATAGGAGAGGAAAGAAAAGAGATGGGGTAAATGAATGTAGAGGTGATATGATATTTATAGAGATCAGCAACACATTTGTAACGGTTTTTTTGTAGCGTTTCGGTGCATTTTGTAGCTGTTTGTCGATTTTCTAGCGTAAAAGTAACCGCTAGTATTTGTAGCGGTGTGAAATTTGTAGCGGTTACCTAACCGCTACAAATTATTATTTTTTATTTTTTAAAAATCTAAACCAATTTTAATTTATACATATGTATTTATGGGAGGAAAATTTTTTTAATAATAAATTTGTAGCGGTTATGTAATGCTACAAATTATAATTTTTTATTTTTTAAAAACTAAACCAATTTTAATTTATACATATGTATTTATGGAAGGAAAATTTTTTTTAATAATAAAATTTTTTGATGTTAC